CAATTGCTGCCTGTGCAATATATTATTAATTTACAATAAATATAAGTATATTGATTGAATCAACATCATTATCAAAAAAAAATCCTCCATTCACAATTAATTACAAACTTTAGACGTGTGACATTTGTAAAGATGGGAACCGCGATTGCAATTAATTGAGGAGCCATCTTTAGTCGTTTGGTAAATATTTTGCATTTTTTTAAATATTTATACACTGTGAATCTCGATTTAGTGGATACTAATTAAAAATTTCGGTTTTACGGATAAAGCTCAAAGAACAGGTCCATAAAAACCTTCTTGATATAGTGGATATCAATTTAATAGATTTTTGGAAAAATTTCCCTAATTGTCCAAACCAAGATTTACTGTGTATAAGTCACCACCAGCGGCATATTCAAAAATCTTCCATGCTCTGAAAATATCCGTATAAATGAATACAGTGAACCCTCCCTAAGTGCACCCTCTCTAAATGCACGCACTATGTATACCCTCCATAAATGCACGTCCCATTTCATCCCCAACCTTATAGAGAGCTTATAAAATCACCCTCCATAAATGCACACCCTCCATAAATGCACGCTCACAAGAAATAGCACTATGTTCCCGAGGGAGGTGCACTTATAGAGGGTTCACTGTAATATGTAGTTAACATATTTCTGCAAAAATACCAACAAATATGTATATACCAACATATATATCTATATACTTTAGATTGTTTTGAATTTCGATTTCTTTTTTTTATTTGACTTGATCACTTTTTAACTTTGGAGTAACTTTTATTGCAAAAAGGTGTGCTCTTTTGCAAGATATCGCATCCCCCTTTGCCCAATTTGGCTCCGATATCAATGTCGTTTAATGTCCAAATCTTCATAATGACAATGATGACTGATATTTTGATAGTAATAATTATCGGTTCGATACGTATAAATGATTTACTTTTACTATAATTAGAAGAAGAGGGAAAAGAAGTAGTGAATTAATATAAAATCGAAAAACCAAGTCAGATGATAAATAATAATCGATAAAATAATATACCTTCATATCAGATTGAACTTCTGGTTCATTAAAGCGGCGACCAATAAGACGTTTAGCGTCAAAAACAGTATTAAATGGATTCATAGCAACTTGATTTTTTGCAGCGTCACCAATTAAACGTTCGGTATCGGTAAATGCTACATATGAAGGTGTTGTGCGGTTACCCTGGTCATTTGCAATAATTTCAACTCTGTCGTTTTGCCATACACCAACACAAGAATATGTAGTTCCCAAATCAATACCAACTATATATAGTATTATTAATTTACATTAGTTATTAACTTGAAATAAATATACATGGTAAGAAAAAAAAAATTTAAATGCGACAATTACCTGCTTTTCCTTCTACTTTTTCTGATTTTCCTTCAGTCATTTTTATAATCTTTTATTTTTGTTTAAAAAATAAAGGTGCGTTTTTTTAAAAAAATATTTATATATTTACAAAGGAAAAAAAATAAAAAAAATTTATTTCGCTTAATTAAAAAAATTTTTTTTAATCAAGATTTAATATTTTTAATGTTTTTTTAATATTTATATATAATCGAAAAAATTTTTTTTTTGGAACAAATGGTTCACATTTCGCTGTATATAAACTTTTCGTCAATCTTTCCAGCAAGTTCCATATTGATGACATTTTATTATGGAAAGTTCTGGAGCCAACTAGTTAAAATTCATTACCATTTTCCGTTTTTTTTCATATGTTGTGTGTATCAACTAAAAGTATATATATGACAACGTGTAACATTTTCAACAATATAGTTTCTAAAAGCGGTCTTTTTTATTCGGCTGATGAAAGGATTAAAAAATAAACTAAATTTAATCTCCCCCTTATTATTCAAAGATGATTTAATGTCAATTTTTAATTATGATACATGATTACGTTTGTCTGCTTAATAATTTCATGGAAATTGTATCTTGCTAACGGAGTTTTTTAGGTTGGTGATTTTTTAAATCTCCCCAAATTTATATTTAAATCTTCAAAAACCACCTTATCAATGGGTCGTGATTTCTTGGAGTCTTCTGGTATTTCTATTTCTAACCAACTTCCGATTGCCTCGGGTTGGTTGCTTTTACGGATAATTCTTGTGATATCAATTATTATTGGTGTTTTTGGCATCAATTTTCAATCATATTTAGCGTTTAGCGTTTGACTTCAATTTATTGAAATACTAAATGAAGAAATCTACCATGTGATGATATATATATATATATCTAGCTATTATTGTATTCAAAGCTTGTGTGTGAACCGGTTCGAACCGGTTCGTACCATTAAAAATTCTTGAATCGAATATTCGATGTGGTGTTCACATTTCCAACATTCTAATTATTATTATTATTATACTTTCGAACGTCCGTAATACTTTTTAAATGTCCATGTTAATATTAATATTGTTATTATCAATTATAAATTTATTATTTATTATTTACATTTGCAAAAACATACAAATTACCACATAAATTATTTAGAAACAGATACTTTTTGCCTAACAAATTCCATCAACAAAATGATGATTCCAAGTAAAACTTTCTCTGGTCTTGTGTTTTGCCAAAGCTTTGGTTACATTACTAATTACTAATTAGAACGATGTCGTTATTTACTGAAAACATTTTATCCAAGATATTCGAAATATTTGACACAAATTTCGAACTAATACTAATACCATATTGGCTTTTGGTGTTCGAATAGAACATTGATTCGGTGGCTCGATTCGAAGTATCGAACCATTTCAACAATCCGAACGTTACATAGACGGCGCACATTTTAAAACAAAGATTGCACATAATTATTTTTCACTTGACTTATTATGTGCAATTTTTATTCAACATTTTTTTAAAAACAATTGTTCAAAATAATTCGTTTTGAATAAACATTCATGTTTTTTGGAAATTTTTTGTAAATAAGAATGGTTTTTGAATAGAACCTTCGAAAAGCTTTAAGCTCAAAATGTCAGTTTTAACTAAAAGTCAAATATGGCGAAATCATCAGTCTTTGTAAAAAAAAATATATCTATATAGAATTCTTGGTATTTATGAGAACATGATTCAAAAAAGGGACAACTTTACGCTGGAAAAAATCTTTATTAAAATTTTAATATTCATGGTTCATTTTGATTCGAATGTTTGATGGTTCGTATGGCGCAAACCATTCTATCCCAAAATTGTTGGCTCAATTCGACCAGTAGGCTCTAATGATGTTGTCTAAAGTATTCAAGATTGTGGGTTAATTTCCCTAGAGCCTTAATAATCATTTTAACCCTTCTCAATAGTGAGGATCTTTCTTCTTTGACCAATGTAGATGAATTGAAACTATGTGAAATTAAAATTCTATAATTAAAATTTTGGGTGGGGTGTTTTGGATATGAAATTCTGATTGGCTAATTTGAATTCCACATCACGCACAACATAGATAAGAAAATTTGTCCATTTTGTGGCTCAAAAACACCATGATTATGTATTTTTGCAAGATGGTTTCTTGCCTATATTCAATAGATAAAATTGCCGAATCAAGTTGTTCAGTATTTTTAATCAGTTCCAGGGAACCAATCAGGCTTTATAATGTATGGACTATATTGATATACCCAAAGTGAAATCAAAACTGATTCACGCGAGAAATATCCATAAAATGGAAGCATTCAGGCTCAAAGAAATTATCAAAGAGATATATAAAAAGAGTTTAGGTTTAAAAATAATAATTATATTTTCTCAGAAAATTTTGTTTTTTCCAACAAATGGTAAAAATTGGAGGCATTTTTATGAAGAAACATTTCTTCGTTCCATGATTGTCAATTCGATATCATGTTCAAGGAGCATATTACGATATATTCCAAGGAGCATCTTGCATATATATTTTGCAGCATATTCGTATATATGTGTATTCAAGGGGTATCTTTATTTTTTACGAATGTTTTTTCAATAACGGTTTAAGAGGTCATATTCAAGTAGCATCTTTGATGTTAAAAAAAATAAAAAAATAAATTATCTGATAAAAGGATTTTTTAACTATATATATAGTTTTTTATAATTAGACAAAATCAATGCAAAAGTAAAAAAATATGCAAAGAAAATCAGTATATAGCACAAAATCATAGAATAAAGTTCTTTTAACTTACTCTATGATTTTAGGTCTTGATGGAAAAAAAGTAAAAATTTATTACACGAATTTTATACACTGACAAGTATGAATCATCAGATCGAAATTCTAAAGTTTAGGAATATATTAAATTTGAGGATTTTGTTTAATTTTTTAATTACTATTTGTTGAAGTAACCTCATTTGTTATAAAAAATTTATATTAACAGAATGAAATTAAGGCTGCCTTGCAAGGAGAATGCATTAATAAATTTGATAGAAAACACGCTTACAAAGAATCCAAGCATGCATTGAAAGTGATGGTTGGCCAACTAAATGTTATATTAATATGTGTTTGCTACTTAATAATTGATCGTTGGTTCTTCATAGTAATAGTGTCGCTGTAATTAATTTGAACTCTTTAGTCTGAAATAAATCAATTAGCATTGAAAAGCCAAAATAATTGCTATAAACAGCTTTGGCTAACAACTATAGAGCCAACCTTATTTGGAAAAAGCAAAATATATAATTTGTCACAAGAGGAAATATTGATATTAATGTGGATTTACCTTAGATTTTTTGGAATTCTACTATAGCAATACATTTATCAATTATATTTGCAAATAGAGCTTTTTTTCCGGGATATTATCCTATGGATAATCCATTTCAATTTGAAAAATTTTAAGACTCAGATATCCTGTTAAATAGTAATTATAATAGGATAATAATAACGGATAATAATAATAATTCTGGAATAATTTTCCAGTATAGTTTTCATCGTTATCTAGTTTTTGATTACATTCAAATGTAAGTTTTTTAAATTTTTTTAGATGGTTCCATTGATGTATTCAACTGTGAAGCTTTGATCCTCCTTTATTTTTGACTTGAAGATTTAATCAATCAGAATTTTCTTTATTATCAAGAAGTTTATCAATAGGATTGTCAACCGGACTGTGTTCCAGACTTGGGATTCTATTCGAATAAAACAAATGAAACAATCAACAAATCAAGTGAATAAAACAAATGGCTCAAATTAAAACAGATTATTCAAATGATTTGAATATACAAAACGAATAAATTAATAAATCAAGTAATTTGGATAAATGGATAAAATTAATAAATCAAATAATTCGAACAAAATAGGTAAAAACAAAGATAAATAAAACGAAAAAATCAATTCGAATAAACAAATGATTCGAATAAAACGGATAATAGTAAAAAGGTAATAATAAATAATTCAAATATTTCAAATATTTCAAAAGAATTCGTATCAGAAGGAATGGGCATTCATGGAGACAATGCATGAATTTTGATTTATATAAATAATATTTTTAACAATAAATCGAAATTTAAACGGTCTTTGATACCTAAGACTGGACCGTTAATATCTTTATTTATCAAACGCATTTTTTGTATGCTCCATGTCATCATTAGTATCATCTGAACTAAATGGAGTAAAGTTTTTCTATATCATCATCATTTCAGTACAAGTATTTTTTTTGAAGCTCTTTCAGTTGATGTTTTAAGTTTTGCAAGTGATTTATTTAATCTGGTTTTTTAATGAAAAAAAATGTGTCGTTTATATTTACAACGAAGTGACATTCGTTGAAACAAGATTTCACTGTATACATGTTGATTATAATCAATAATTCATAGGATTTATTACAGCATTATTATTATTCATTTTGTGGATTCTAAATCCGGATATCCGTTCAAAAATTAACCGGATGATAACAGATCTAATCCTAAGGTATTATGCAGCTCTATTTCTAAGAAACAAGTTTATTTAAACAGCTACTACATACCTAGAAGGAGTGCCTCCTACAGATGACTAGAGCTGTAAGGATAATTTTAAGATTATGTTTTCCTTACAAGGATGCGTTATTATTATTATATACTTTGAAGAAATATTTTTATATTAATGTTCCATTGTGGATAAAAAATTATTATTGAAGAATATAAATAAATAATCTTCAATTATCCAATTAGCTATGATTACATATAAATTTATTGTTAAAAGTAGTAAAATACAATAATATTATTTTTCAATTATTTGAAATACTTCTAATTCTTCATATTTACTACCTCTTACTATATTAATATTGCTATAATTATAACTATAACTGTGAATAGAACAATCATTTGATGTAAAGTAAAGATCACAACCATCTCCGCCAAAAATAGCTGGATTTGAAGGACAACAGTAAATTGCATGTTGATAATTATTAATAACATAGCTAAACTGTGCAGAATCAATATTATTTCTATTACTAATATTAAAAATAAAACTTTCAGTTGTGTATTTAGATATAGTAGCACCATTATTTAAATTCCAATTAAGTGGATTATAGCCTCCCACTAACTGATCTGAATTTTGTATTTTGCCAATTATAAGAGTTTTATTGATATTATTACATTTTTGACGAAATATGGCTGCACTGTTACCATCTCTACTACTACGATATATAAGTTTAAATTTGTATTTAACATCTCCAAATAAACTATATCTTGGACTTTTTCTATCAATCCAACTTGCAAAAAGCAGAATAAGATTTTGATTAATTGTTGTTGATTGAATTTTTGGAATTCTTGTTGGTAATAAATTCAAAGTTTGCTGCTGATTATCAGCAATTATAAAATAATGTAAAAGGTCATTCCAAATTAACTCTGGAAAAAGCTTCTGATATGGAATAATTTTAGAACAAAAATCATCTTTAGAAATATCTTGAAATCTTATCAGAGGAATAAATTCTTTTAATGTATCACCCATATCAACAAAATTTTGTGATGACCAATTTTTAACTTCATTGTTATTAATTCCTGAATGTCTTTCCAATCCCCATTTAAGAATATTTTCCCAAACAATCATTTCATCAACATAAAAATCACTTTTGAGAATTTCCAATAAAGTTTGCTTTTCAAATAATTTAAATTCATTTAACTGAAATAATTTTTCACCAAAATCAGAATATTTTTTTAGGAAGATGCTTTTTAATTCCATAAATTGATTATTAGAATAAATAGATTGTAAGATTTCAACTGGATTTTCTTTTATATAATCTTCATATTTTTCAATAAAGTAATTTATTGTATAGTTGTAGAATGACTCAAGGCCAAGTTCATCAGCTGTAATTAATATTTGCAGAATATCAACTCCAGAATAATTATCTAATTCTATTTTACATGTGTACAAAAATCTTTCAAATAAATAAATAATAATAATTAATAATTAACTTAATATAGCAAATATAATAATAATTTCATTTAAATTTACTTGAGAATAGGGCCAAAAGATTTTTCATTAATGTTAGCTTTTTCAATATTATAATATCTATCTTTTTTTGTTGCATTAGTTAATGCATTGCTAAAAAATGGACAATGAGCAGATATGATAGATGCATGTGCATGAATTTCTTTAATGTTTGGTTCTACACCAAGATATATTTTTACATCATAAAAATCTTCTGTATTTAATAATCTTTCATTCTCATTGAAATATTTTTCCAAAATTGTTGAATCCATTTAATTTAAATTTTTTTTTTAAAAAAAAATCTTGCAATTGTAAATTGTAAAATGATGAATGGCCAATCAAATGTCACTATCACAATTATATAATAGTAGATCGACATTAGAATTGATTGATTTTTGTTTTTTTTATTAAATATACAGTCCCTTGAAAAAAGTATCGCTTCACCTGATGATCGACGAAAATAATTGGATAACTTCTGTGATATAAAA